GCATTAGAAGCAACTCACTGAGTGGAGGCAGCCTGCAGAGTGAGGAAAAAAACCTTCCTAGCCATTTATTTGCGATAGGATTAATTTCCAGACATACCAAAAACTCAAAAAGGAATGAAATCTAACAGATTAATACCTAGACATTGCTAGAATTCAAAAGAAATGAAACAACCATATTGATAAATGAACTAACATGCAGACATTTCTCAAAAGGTGGATTACAAATGATCAATAAACATAAGAAAAGTGTATACATCACTAACCTTTAGAGAAATGCAAAGTTCTTGAGGGGTTGGAAAGAACTCAGTGGTTAAGAATGAGTTTGTTTCAGAAGTCCAGAGTTGGTTTCCCAGAAATCACATCAAACAACTCTCAGCTGCATGTTACTCCAGGTCCAAGGGCCTGGCCCCTCTTCTGGAGAGAATGCAAGGAAAAGGGGATACTTATACATTGTTGGTGTGGATGAAAACTAGTTCACCTACTAAGGAAATTAGTATGAAGCATCTTCAAGAAACTAAAAATAAGCCATGTAACCCAGCTATAGCATATAGAATGACAATACGTCTGACTTTCTCAGTTTTGGTCCACTGTTTCCATAGTATCCTCCTGTTTTTCCTTTGGGAATGGAAATGTTTACTATGTCACAGTATGCGGGAAGTACACAACTTGCTATATACGTGCATATTCATCCAAAACTCCAGGTAATCACATCACAGAAATAACCACACATCAGTATCTATGACAGCACTGAGTACTGTTAATTACAGCTCAATTATGGAACAACCTAAGTGGTATAAAATGGGAAAATGAAATAATAAAGTGTGATATATGCACAGTAGAATGTTTTTGTGTTTCTTTTTTTTAATTCCAAGCATGATAACTATTGTTCCAACATTTCTACAACCTCAACAGCCTCCCATGTCTTCCTTATTGCCTCTGGGTCTCAAGACCACTTATCCTTCAATTATTATACATATGTGCCCATGTGTACACATAAATACAACCTGCTGAGTCCATCTAGTGAGGCCAATATGTACATGTGTTTAGGGATGACCACATGGGTTTGAACAATCTATTGGGAAGTTCATCCTTGGAGGACACTGACTCTCTCTCTATTAGTACAATATGGTTGCCTAAACAGGACCTGCACACAACACCTGTGAACATCACAATAGGATTTTATTTAGTTATAAAAACAGTGAAATTATGTCATTTGCAGGAAATAGATTCAAGTGGAGTTAATTACATTAAGCAAATAAAGTCAGTTTCAGACAAGTATTGCGTATCTTCTCTTTTGTGGATTTTATATTTTATAAGATAAATAAAAATCACGTATGTATGTCTGACATGGAAGAAGTGAAATTGTCTAGGGGAACAGAGGGACTAATGAGAGGAGAAAGACATCCAGGGGATGTGGGGGATATAATAAAAGTGCATTGTAGACTCACATGAAAATATTCTTTCCAAACTCAGTGCTACATGTGATAAATTTACTTCAAATGTTTTCAAGTGTGTGTAAAGGGTATTGGCCAACACATGTGACAATAATGAATCCAGTCAGCCTTGTAGTTGGGCACTGGGGGAGCTCAGTTTCCTCCATCTCAACAAACAGTGTTCAGAGCAAGACCAGAGACACTGTCTCTTCCTATGGCTCTCCCTGGATAAGGAGAAACCTGAAGTTCCTCCTCCAGAGACCTTCATTCACTTCTCATTGGTCGGCAATGGCTGCAGGCTCTCTTCTCAATACATCATTAGCCAAGAGATTGGAAAAGTTTTAGACCAGACATTCTTAGAGCTGGCGATAAAAGCCTGGGCCAAACCAGAATTCTTTCTTTCTTTTTTTAAAATTAATTTATTTTTTATTCTTCTCTCACAATTACATTTCAACAGCAGTTCCCTCTCCTTCCCCCTCCATGTAGTCTTTCTCCCCCTAAGCTCTACTGTAGATCCACTCCCCTGTCTCCCCTCAGAAAAAGCAGGGACATCAACCAAACAGGTTATAACAAGCTACAGTAAGACCAGGCACATACTATCATATCAAAGCTGGACAAGACAACCCAGTAGGAGGAAAAGGGTCCCATAAGCAGGCAAAAGAGTCAGAGACAGTCCGGACTACCACTGTTAGGGATCCCACAAGACCACCCAACTACTTGACCATAACATATATGCAGGTAACTTAGGTCAGAGCTCTATTGGCTCCCTGCTCTCTGTGAGCCCTTGTGAATCCCAGTCAGTTGATTTTGTGGGCTGTGTTCTCTCTCTTGGTGTTCCTTACCCTTCTGGTTCCCTGATCCTCCCTGATCCTGCTTCACAGGACCCGGGGAGCTCTGCCTATTCCAAATCAGAATTCTAAAGGGGAAACACAAGAGGCTCAGAAAAGCAATGTCTCACAGACCAGGAGAGTGGTTTTCTGAAGGTGATGTTTATAGAAAAGAATCCTGACAAGATGCTTTAGAAATGTCTTTAAACTACAGAGCATCAAACATTAAAATATATGAGCAGGAAAATGACAAGGAAGATAAGTGTGGACAACGCAAAACTAGCACAAGTCCCAGCATGCACAGCCATCCAGCCTGTGCCTCTGAGAAGCACTTTGAGGACCCAGCTGCCCTCCTGATCCTCCAGGTCCTGCTTTTGCTTCTCCACCTCCTGCCTCACCTTGGCCAGGTAGCACCTGTAGGCTTCTTGGTGCTCACTGCTGTTACTACTAAGGAACACAGAGGCATGAAGGAAGAGGTCATTGCTGTAGAAAGAGCCATTACACTCCTGCTCCAGCCTGCTGACCAGGACCATGAGCTCTGCCAGCTGTCCCTGCTGCTCTTCCCCAGAAGCCCTGTTATTAAAGGCACAGTACCTCCTCCCACACTCCTGGACCAGGCTGCGCAGGCTTTGGTTGTCAGTGTGGGTCACAAACTCATGCAAGGTCTCATTTGCCAGGTCTTCCTTGTGGGTGAAGAGGATGATCATGTGCCTCATGACTCCTGCCCCAAAGATCTCCTTCACCCTCCTCACGGCTGTGATGTCCTGGGCTGTGAAGCGTCCCAGCTGGGTCACCAGTAACAGTACATGGGGTCCTGGCACACACAGCAGGTAGCAGTCTCCAATGTCCTTTTCTTGGTTCTGGGCCTTTGACTCAAAGATGGGTGGCGTGTCTATCACTAGGAAACTCCTTCCCTTCCATGTGCCCATCTCTGCCTGGCTGGTCCTGGTCACTGAGTGGCCTCTGAGTCTGGACTCAAATGCTGGTCGGCAGAGGATGCTGTTCCCTGTGGCGCTTTTCCCACAGCCAGATTTGCCCACTAGGAGGATTCTCAGTGGTCGTGACCCTGGGGTGCAGTCATCTTTCTTTCTGCCTTTAGGAGTAAAGGGAGGCTCGGGTGTAAGAAATGATTCATGACAGGAAGGACTAAAACTTACAGGAACTAGTGCAAACCAATTATTATTTGACCCCTCTGATTTAACCATATCAATCCCACCAGACACCAGGTTTTTGGGATTAAGTGCTCCTGATGGTCAGAGCCCAAGGCATCTTTCCCCTGGTGATACATTAATCCAATTTTTGCCATTCTCTAAGGACCTTCATTCTGCCCAGGTCTGAAGTGCTAAGCCAATGTAGAGTGCTCAGGTTAGTTTCAGGCTGGTCATTCTGTTCATCTGTCCCTTTCCTTTACCTTCATCTACACCCACAATCCCTGATCTCTGTTTTATACAATGGCAAGTTATTATCTTGGTGAACTTGCCCTTGTTTTGGAGACTTTGACAGCTAATATCCTAATATGCTCAATTATCTTGTTTTACATTTGTCTTGCTGTAGGTACCTGGAGGGAAATTTGTTCCTTTCTATGTACTGATCAGTGGTCCTTGACTGTTAAAAGAGTCCCACCCACAGCAGCTTTCTTACCTGTGGAAAAGGTAACTTTTACACCTGTCTGAAGAATTTCCATGTTTTGTTTCTAGAAGGGAAAATAAGCCAAGAGCGTCCATATTGGATTTGAATATAATATGCAACACCAAACACAACATCTTCTAGGAAGGGACTTTAAGCCAAAGAGAAAGAACTGTTAGAGTCACACACACATACTTTATAGGGAGTTCTAACTGACCCAAAGGAGGAAGACACAAGAAACAGGTACATGTAATGTGATCACATGGATGTTGTCACCATGACTTGTCTTCATTCCACAGGCAGAATGAAAGTGGGCTGTGTACTTACAGTCAGTTAATTTAGCTGATCAGTCATTTCTCAATGAGCACATGGCTGTCTGGTGTTCTTTGGGAACCTAGTACTAGAGGTTGCTTGCCACCTCCAGCATCTCCAAGAAACAAATGTAATTATTCCCTTGTTCCGTGGCAATGGTCCCTCCTGTTCTGACTGGAGCTTAGCTGAGTCCGGACTACAAGACTTTCTCCTCCCAAACTGGGAAGGCGCTGGTCAAACCAGCACTAACTGTTCACCCAGGAGTAGGATTCTGTTGTGGGGCCAGGTTGTGGAATGGTGGGATGCACCCAGGAAGCAGAGGGAAAGAAAGGCTAAGAACTGAGGTGACACAGTCAGTGTGCTGAGCTCCTGAGGTCCCAGTGCCCGTGTTTCCAGCTCGGTCTTGGATTGCAAACATCTTGAGGGCCTCTCTCTTCCAGGACACTTTCTTCTGTTCTGCCCTGTTCCTTACAGCCTTTCTTTTAATCCTTGTCCTGCCTACTATACCTACCTCCTGTACCAGGTAGGGGATCCATGAGAGAATGACTTTCTAGCTTCCTTACTGGAAGGTACCTACCTGCAGATCTTCAAAGGTAATGCAGTGCCCTGCTTCTGAGTGTTTCCTTGATCCAGGCTCCAGGAGCAGGCCTTGTGTTAGTCAGGGTTCTCTAGGGAAAAATAACTTATAAAACATGTAGTATTAGGCACATGTATATTCTATCCTGTGTGTGTGTTTGTGTGTGTGTGTGTGTGTGTGTGTGTGTGTGATAAAAAGGGAATTTATTAGAACGACTTACAGGCTGTAATCCAGCTAGAACAACAATAACTGTCTTTCAATGGAAAGTCCAAGAATCCTATGGTTCTTCAGTACATGAGGCTGGATGTCTCAGCTGGTCTTCCATATATACTGCGATCCCGAAGAAGCAGGCTATAATACCAGTAAAAGAATGGACTTGCTAGGTGAGCAACAGGTTTAGCAGACATAGAGAGTGCCTCCTTTTTCCATGTCGTTTATATAGGATGCCAGCAGAAGGTGTGGTTAGGATTAATGGTGGTCTTCCCACCTCAAAGATACAGATTAGATCTAAATTAAAGAATTTAATTAAGAAAATAAAAATCCCTCACGGGTGTGCCCAGCAATCTGGGTTTTATTTAATTCTACATGTAGCCAAGTTGACAACCAAGAATAGTCCACATGTGCTTCAAAAGGAATGCCTAATTACAGAATTTTAGGGTCTTTGGTGGATCAAAAATTTTTGGAACAAAACCCTTTTTGGGACTAAATGGATTTCCTAGATACCCCTCTACATATCAAACTGGCTAGAGGCCAACTTAGCAAGAAACACAAATAAATAAATTTTGGGTCCTTTAAGTTTTGATATCAAATGTTACAAGCCAGCATTTACCCCAGTAACTTCATTGTCTTTTCACACTGAAGATGATTTTAGCTCCAGGAAACAAGCTGTGGTAACTTTGTGACTGTCCTTATGATTATATCACATGTACCCATTTCTTGGAGGTATTTCCTTTGGGTCAACAACTCCCTGTCTCTTGAACTCTGCTCTGCAACCAGTCCCACAGAAATCAATCTAATCTGATTCACACAAATACCCAGACTATTCAGAGTTCTCATAAAAAGTGCTGATTTTCTATCTTAGGCTTGGGATTTCACATGGAGACCTGTTCCTGAGGACCATCTGTCTTTCTGCCTTCTGAGAGGTTTTCAGAGATGGCTAGTCTGTATCCACTTGATTGGACCACTGGGCCAGCGATTTGATCACACAGAAATACAGGTGCTGTTTGATAAATGGATGCAGATCATATTATAGCAATACTGGGTAGTGCGAGGGGAATGTGTTAAAGAGTAGAGGGGAGCATGTAGGGTCAACTACAGAAAGGAGTAGAGAGAGACAGTGTTGATTTTTCTAAGCTAAGACCTAGGTACCCTGGAAGCCCTATGATGCTTTACACACATGGGGGGGGGGACCAAGACTCTGGAGGATGGGTGAAACCAGGCTGTACAGTACTGCATGGAAGAGCAATGCTAGCACAACCACAGTTTCCCCTGCAGTGTGCCCCCAACTTAGGCTGATAGGATGGGGTCTCCCTGCATGCTGTCTTTTGCCTCTTGGTGCTGACCAATGGTCTCCAATGCAGGACTACTCATAGGATGCCTTTGACCAAGAAACAGGTGACAGGTCATTCCCCCAGGTGAGTGCCTTAAACAGCTCCTGTCTCAAGGATCAAGCCTGATCATAAAGAGTAAAGAAAGCAAGGGTTGGAGCATCAGTTTTTTTCTCATTTCTCAAGCCTTCTTTAAGTTTTTGAATGTCTCAAATGGTTAGACATTTCCCTCTCCTTTGCTTCTTCTAGTGGAAACCCACTCACCTCCAGGAAAATGAATGTCACCTTTTCTGTTTCCAGGTTCACACCTCTTGCATTCTGTCCCCTTTGGGTATCTTATTTTAAGCCACCACCCTCCTGTGACAGCACTGTGCTCTCTCGCTGTCCCCTGGGAGGAGGTCATCAACCAACCCCACCCACCTCACGGTCATCAGCTCTTCCATTCATTTCTAAGTAGTTAGTGGAAGGATCAGTGGGTGGGCAACAGGTATTTCCTGCCCCTGGTTGGACCTCAGAGCTAGCAAAAGTGGGATAGCTTCACCATGCTCCTCCTAGGATGCACTCCCTGGCATTGTTCAGGACTAGAAGAGACTGGAGGAAAGAGCAGGTGCAGGTCACACTCAGAAAGACTGTGAAAAGGTCATACACGTTGGCCTTGAGTAGATTCTCTTAGTATCATCTGACAAAAGTAATTATACCATTGTTTCCCAGATCCTTTACCACAGCATCTTAAAAACATGGCCAGAAAAACATGATATTCTGTTATGAGGATAAACCACTGTGCAAGTGTCATTGGGGTCATGTACAGGAACAGTCTTTACTGGTCATAACTTCATTCTGGTTGGTTTGACTGATTTTTTAGTGTATTACATTATCCAAAAATGCTTTATGTGAACAGATTAATTTGAGTGGTATCCTGACATCTGTCTTTATCTTTAAAATAAAAATGATTTTCTTCCTGTACAGTACTGTGACTAGAAAAAGGAAAGTAATGGGAAAGAAATAAGATTCAAACTCTAGGGGATGGGGAGATGGGACAGCCTGTCCAGCCAATTGGTGAGCACCTGATTCAGTGAGACTTTGTTTTAATAGATACTATAGAGAGACTGGGGAGATGTCTCACAGTCACAAGTGAGGAGTTGAGTTTGTATTCTCAGAACCCACGTAAGAAATGAGTATGAATGGGTTCATCTATAACCCTGGCACTGGAGGGATGAAATAGCAGAGAGGCAGGCAAATCCCTGGATCTCATCTAGATCACCCTAGCTAATCTAAGCAGTTGGCAAGTGCAGTCAACCAAATGAGACTCTGTGTCAAAAACTCAGGCGAGAGTGATAGAGGAAGATATGAGATGTCCCCTTGCTCTCCTGCAGTGATAGAGGAACATATGAGATGTCCCTTGGATCTCCTACAATGATAGAAGAAGATATGAGATGTCCCTTTGCTCCCCTGCAGCAAAGATCCAAAGCTATGGATTCAGGGCTGTTCTTACCCAGAAATGGGCTCCTGAGCTTGACTGGATGAAGTAAATGGTCCTAAGGGAGGCAGCAGTTCCTTTTGGATGATCGGTAGTGTGGACTTCAAATCACTGATGAGGTCAGTGCTTCATCTTTCTGCCACTAAACTAATTTCTCAGGCCACAGGAAGTATGCAAACGCCACTCAGACGAGTGACTTCCCTCCAGCTGGCTCCTCTCTAGCCTCCAGACACTTAACACAGTCTGGCTGGGCAGTCATGAGGAAATTACTTTAGAAAGTTTGCCCATTCCTCTCCTTCCTTGGAAACTCCTGGCAGGAAACAGAATCCATAAGTGTCCCCCTTCCACCCAGTCCCAAGTGGGGTACTAAGTTTGTCAGCTTAAGAGAGCAAAACTCACTGATGTTCCACAGACTGGCAAGAAGCCGTCTGGGCACAAGATGCTGTGGCCTCCACAACTCTTCCTAAAGTTAATAAAGAGATCAAGTGTCTTGCCCTTCCGGTTGACAATAATTGTTACTGGTAGATTCAAGGGTGGGCAGTGGAGAGGAACACACACACACACACACACACACACACACACACACACACTCACACACACACACACACATACACGAGCCCTGTTACCTGGTGGACGCTGGAGGATCTTTCGATTCAAGGTCTCCATGCACTGTGGAGCACCTTCCTGTCCTCAGCAGCCTCTCACATTGGTTTTTAATCTCTTCATGAAAATGCAAGAGCTATGAGAGGAGAAAATCAGCTCACAAAATCTGTCTGCCAGGGTAGGAAGATGGTGTTCCCGGGGGCACAGGAAAGAGCGATGTGTACACAAAACAGTACTCAAAGGGCAACTGAGGAGCACAGCAAGAGGAAGAGGTTGATTAAAAAAAACAACAACCATTTCTCCTTCCTGCCCCACCCTCACTGCCCACACTTCTGAGATGATTTTGTGAAGAATGCATTCTCTACAAGACTGAGAACTAGGGAAGCCCCGAGGCTCGGCATCCCAAGCCTTTAGCTTCCCCCTCTGGGTCAGACAGCCAGCATGCATCTATCTCCCCAGCTCCCACTCTTCCATATGACTAAAGTTGCTCTCCAGGGCCCGCTGGGCAAACCAGCAGGCATCATGCTTGAGCCAGGTGATGTTACCCTGGCTTCTGGGCAGAATGTGTGAGGTCAAGGCTTAGATTTTCTCATGTGGGCCGATCTCCTCTCTTCAGAAACCATGGAGCTAGCTACCCAAGCAATGATCTGACTTAGAGCACCTAGAGAATCCAAGGTCCCCTCTCCCTCTGCATGTTGCCCTGCTGGGCTCAGGATTGCAAGGGGTGAGCCAGGTCTCCTCTCTGGAGAGCCTTTCAGGTGCCCCTATTTCCTTGCATGCTTGAGTTCAGATGATTGTTTTTATTCATTTGTTTCTATTTTCTGTGTATGAGAGATTTGCCTACATGTTTGCAAGTGCCCTTTGCACATGTCTAATGCTTGTAGAAGCTGGAGAAGCTGCGGGATCCTCTGGAACTGGAGTTATCAACAGAGGTAACCCCATCCCTCAGGTCCCAAGTTCAGATAATTTAAGAAAGTCTAAGCAGGAAAGTGAGACATGAGTGACTCAGGACCCCAACTGATTTTGGACAGCACGGTGCTCCAGTGCAGTAACACATAAAAGTAGCATTTTGCAGGGAAACCAGTCTTGACTTCCACAAACCTTCTATAATACAACTTTAAAATTTGAGGTACTAGTGGTATTACATTGAGTGAGGTGGGGCCTTTGAACCAATAGAAGGCATTTCTCCTTTTAGCTATTGAAGTGTTTATCTAACTAATCTTTATCAATAAAAACTCAGGAGTTGGATATCTGGGTAAGAACCTCAGTGATAAGAGAAGTGGCTGTGGAGTGACCAGTGACCTCTCTCCTTCTTTCCTTGATCCAAAAGAGCCTAGACTCTCCTAAGCCCCTCCCTACTACTTCCTGTGTCTCTCTATATGTCCTTTGTCCTCCAAAACCTCTATGGCTAATTTTGGTCAGCTAGTAGTTAGCTCTACCCTCTGATTCTAAGCAAACTTTATTGCCAGTCTCAAGGAGTGTCATCAGAGTGAGATCAGAATAACCCACAACAAGCTTTGGAACATCTGCTAGTCTCTTATTTTTGCCAATCAATAGAGATCAACTCTACAATAGAAATGATATACATGGGTGCATGTTCCCACCTGAGGACAACTTTCAAAACTGCCTCTGCAGGTATTTTATAAATACTCCATACACAAGAAGGAATAACTGCTGAAGGTTTTGGAGCTTCCACTGGGTCTCCACAGAGAAGGTAAGTTCAGCAGCCTTAACACCTACAGGCTAATCCTTATGTGTCCGAGCCACAGACAGAAGCCCATGCAGCATTAGCCACAGCTGTCTGTACATTAGGGAAAAGGCACCCTGAAGGAAACACAATAGAGCTGTCTTGAGTGCGGGCCTTCACTGCTCTCGGGACACACAGGAAATGACATCTGTTTGGAGCAGATAAATGGATGCCTTTCCTATAGCATGCTCCTGTTCATAGCTGTTTTTTTCCCATTGAATTACAGGCATTTTCTGGTTGGTTCCTGAAAGCCCTATGTTTTATAGGTGTAAATATCATCTGCCCCAGGTCCTGCCCATCCAGTCCTCTACAGCTCCCTTTCTTCCTCGCAGTCAGAGCCTGTGGCTGTTTGCAACTCTTTCTTGGTCAGTGTTCACTGCAGAATTCTGGTGCTGGCCTTCAAAGCAAAGATATATTCTTCTGCAAAGGAGCTGTCTACAGTGTGGAACCCAAACCAGGCCCCAGCAGTCACAGGGAACAAACCGCACAAATCGCTTCTATGAGAGCCTGGAGCTCAAAACTGTAGCTCTATGCCATGGAAACAGTCCTTGCCTCAACCACGCTGTTGTAGGTGTTTCTTTGACAATGTGTCCTTACAAGTTTAACATATGATTTCTAGACAAATCCCATGAGAACTGGTGATTTATCCCCTTCCTAATACACACGTGCCTGTGAAATAATAAACATAGGATCTGGGAGATGTTGTAGTGGTTAAGAATGCTTGCTGCTCTTCCAGAGGACATGAAGACAGTCCCAGGAACTTCCAGCCTCCTGTAATTGCACATGTTAATCACACATATATGCATCACATACATCACATCACACACACACACACACACACACACACTCTCTCTCTCTCTCTCTCTCTCTCTCAGACACACATGGCGGGAGGTAGGAAGAGAGGGGGAGGGAGAGAGAATTTCAAAAACACTTAAATATAGAGAAGGAATTAAACAATTGGAAACTACTTTGTAAGTGTTGTCCATGGTTTGCAAACACTGCCCCCTGCTGGTTAGCTCTTGAGTTTTCTGTGTTGCTTTCCCAGTCTTGAAACGTTAAGCAATGTTTTGGGAGTTTGCTTGTTTGAATTTGGTGTGTGTGTGTGTGTGTGTGTGTGTGTGTGTGTGTGTGTGTGTGTGTGTGTGTCTGTGTGTCTGTGTGTGTGTGTGTGTGTGTGTGTGTGTGTGTGTGTGTGGTGTGTCAGTGCGCCCATGTGCACTTATGTGCTTCTGAGTGACCACAGGGAGGGCATAAGGCTGCTTGAAGGCAGCTTCTACCACTCTTCAACCCTTTGCCCTTGAGACAGGGTCTCTCACTGAATTGCTCTCTGTGAGATTGGCTTCTGGGAGTTCCAGGATCTGTCAGTCTTTGCCTCCTGGTGCTGGGATTACAGGCACAAGTGGTCTCACCAGATTTTTATTTGCTTGTTGAAGATTCAAACTCAGGTCTCCACGCTTGTACAGCAAATGTTCTTACCCATTGAGAGCTAATACCCATCTCCCCAGCTCAACATATTTTATTTATGATGTGTTATTCTAGAGAGCCCCTATTTCTCATCCCTTGTTTAATAACATGTTACTGTGCCTACACAAGAATCCAAACACAAACATCTATGTCAGTTTTGTTCACAATGTGCAAATGCAGAGGCAGCACAGATACCTTTCAGTAAGTGGATGGATGACTGGATAAAGTGACACATCCAGACAATGGAAACTAAAAAGAGATGAGTTGTCCAGACACACAGAGCCCCAGAGGAAACCTATACCTATCCTCCTGACTTAGTCGTCTGTGTGTGGGATTGTGTGTTACGGTCTTGGCTCTGCAAACCATTTTTTGACATTGTCTATAGAGTGATAGGGTGAGATAAAACCCACAGCAATTGTCCCATTGGAATACATCATGAACCTGGGGACACTTTCTCTCTCTGTGAGATCCAGGTACCCCCATTACTCTCTGAAGAAGAAGGGATCAGTCAGAAACCCTGAAGTCTACAGGCTGTAATAAAAATGTTCTTCCAGTAATTCAGGTACCCCCAGCACACACACCAGTGGCTCAAGTTCCCATGGCACATCTCTATAATATGGATCTGTACCTGTGTTTAGACTCCATGCATGGAATCTCACTGGCCGTCAATTCATCTTCATGTGGACACTGCTGGAAAACTCTTTCCAGATGCCTTGTGCCCTATGATCCACCCTGAACTTGTTCCTCCCCCGCCTCCTAAAATTTCTAAAAATTGGTGCTAATTTGATTTGGGCACTGGAAGAGATTGGCAGCTGCACTTCCAATATAGAAATTTTTTTCTCTGTGATTTTATGACTTGGTGAGAGTTCTGGCTACTACGACCCTTGGTTTACATTTCCTTGGGAGATTCCAACTAAAGGTAAATATACAAACCGTGGTTAGAGGTGGGCTGATCATCTTGAGATCTGAGCATACAAATACACGCCATACACTTGGAGACAACAGGGAAGAGATGTTGTATCTACATCAAAGCCTGTTCTTAAGTTCATTCAAAGATTGAAAACCATCAGTCAAAAATAGAGGGAAACAGTCAATATATGGATTTATGGATAAGCCATGGAGGAAGATTGTGGTAGCTTAAATGCTATTAGTCCCCAAATTTCATAGCAAGTGGTATTACTGGGAGGAGTGGCTTTGCTGGAGAGGGTATGGCCTTGTTGGAAGAAGTGTGTCCCTGTGGAGGTGGACTTTAAGGTTTCCTATGCTCAGGATCCCACCCAGTTGTCAGTGGACTTCCGGTTGCCAGAAAGATATAGGACTCTCAGCAACTCGCCCAGCACCATGTCTGCCTGCATGCTGCCATGTTCCCTGCCATGATGGTAATGGACTGAACCTCTGAACCTGTAAGCAAGTCACCCCAATAAATGTTTTCATTTATAAGAGTTGCCATGGTCATGGTGTCTCTTCACAGCAATTGAAACGCTAGGACACAATTAAACCTTATATTTATTGAAGACTATATACATAATGGTAGGGCAGGAGATACTTGACAAAGAATATTGTAAGATGACACTGTGTTAGGTACATAAGATAAAGGCAGAGATCTATAGAAATCAGGGTATAAGTCTTGCTTCTTCTAGGTAGGCTCTGGTGACACTAAAGAAACATAAGAAACTATGTCTAGTTTCCACCAGAGTGTGGATTTCAGTGTTTTCTACTAGACATCCACATTAAAATTGTGTCTGTACTCCAGGGTCATCACATTTTTAAGTTACTTGATGTTTGTAATCATATCAAATTGAAGGTCAAGGTCAACGGAGTGGCAAAGTTGAGGGTCAAGGTCATCAGAGTGGCTAGATAACATTTGATGTCAGGATATGAGGGTTTGGACCACAGTCTTGAAGCCTGTGTTGGTCCTTGTGGTGGTTCCAGTTTCCTCTGAGGTGTTGGTGTTGCTAACACACATGAGATCTTCTTGTCCTGGATCTCTTGAAGACCAGATAGCAGTTGGGCAAACAATGACTCCAGGGTGCGGCCCACACACCCATCATGCCAGTGTCTGCCCAGATTGTTTCTCTCGTGTGGCCCAGATATCCAGATGGCCATGCCTTGTACTCCTGGGTCCTCCAAGGTAAGAAATCTCCTGGGTGTGATGAAGAGAGAATGAGGACTACAACTGTCAAAGTTAAACTTGACTCAGGCTTCTTGGTGGAAAATTAGCCCTCAGCCCACACTGATTTTGATTGTCCTTCAGTCATCAGCTTCAGAAGCCTTGTTTAAGAATCCAAGGTTTTTGATGGATGGAATGGTGGGGGCAGGGATCAGGTGAATCACAATAAGACCCTGTGCCATCTAATTCTTCTTGATATTAAGGAGAGTGGTTCCTTGTTCCATTAAAGGTCATTGCATAGTCCTTGCTCCCTTGCTGTGAGTGTATCACTGGGTCATATGGAGAGAGGGTACGGCCCACATACCCTTACATTTAAGCTAGACCCAGGCAGTAGAAGGTACTCAGAGTATGTCATTCTTCAGACAACACACTCATGGTGTTAAAGTGTGTTCAACCTTCTTGGAGCAGTAGGTGTGGCCTAGGTCAGACTTCACATCAGATTCTTAACCTTGCTCTCTTAAAGTCCTCATACAGGAAGAATTTGGGACAGAGGGTGCGGCCCACACACCCTTGATCCCAAGCTGTGTTTTTGTTATTTGATGTTTATGTGAGGCTCAGATTACTAGAGAGCAATGAGGTCTTAATCCACCTGCTGTGAGAATGTTTGTTGGATGTGTTGGAAGAATAGCAGGTACATCTCACAAACTATAGTGGTACCACAAAGAAGATTCTAGATTAGCATTGATGACAGTTCATGGTCTATGATGTGATGTCAAACATCAGTGCAAGAATGGTTGTGGTTGAGTCCAAATTTCTAAGTGAAATAGCATGGATTTGGTCACAAATGAGGCTATGATTTGTCCAACAAAATAAATTGTCGGGAGAAAATGCCTGGCCTCAGACCAGGTCGGCATCATGGGTATGTCCATTTCCTTTGTTCATTAAGGTGAGGTTTGATCTGGGTCACAAATGTGGCTATGATTTGTCCAAAAATAATTGAAGTGAGATAATGCCTGACCTCAGACCAGGTTGGCGTCATGGGTATGTCCATTTCCTTAGGTCATTAAAGCGATATATTGTCCCTTTAAAGACTAGCTCGTTTGTGGTGGGATCCTGTCCTTGGTTGACCAGAGGGTTCGGCCCACACACCATTTAATATTAGTCCAGTCTACTTAGGGTTCAAGGAGGTGCTGGGTTTCCTTTCAGGTCTGCTTATGGCCTTGAACCTGTGTCAATAATCATGTCATTATCAAGTTCCCCTTCTTGGAGGGGATAATGAATCCAGATTTCAGTTAATCAAATCAAGTTCTGAGTTTGCCCAAGATTCTTGGTGAGCAGTCTATGGCTAGAGTTGAGTATGAGAAATTTTCTTTAAAAAAAAGGCAGTCAAGATAAGGTGCAGGTTGCAGTGTAACACCCTTTTTGATAAGGTGCATCCATGTTACTGGATTATTTAGGTGAGCCCTTGTCACTTTATGGCAATGTTGTCATCCTTTTTAGTGTGTTGAAGATGTTGGATTGAATGAAGTGTGTGTGAGAGCCACACATCTGGTACTCAGAATGTCACTTATATCAATCATTATAGGAAGTATAGACGGTTAGTCCAAGACTATCAGTGACAAGCTGGGATATGTGTGCACTGATGTCTTGGTTGATGTAAAATACAAACTAAAATTAAGGCCTTGATCAGAGAAGCTCATGGTACATACTGCAACCACGGTATTGTTTAACTTTAGATTGGCTGTGGGTTCAGGCCTCTTTGGGAGGGGATTAATCTGTGCTGATATTACATTAGTATTTGTGCTAAAATTTCCTCAGTGTTTGGTCAGGATTGGCTTGGGCACATTCATTTTCTTGGTCTGGCCCAGGTCCTTTTTTTGACTGGCCCAGGCCACATTATCTGGATAATTTTGCTCAGGCTTCTTTAGGGTCAGGGTTTAGCCCAGGCCCACATCTCTTCTTGCTTTGGGCCCGGGCTGTTTCAGGGTCAGGATTGGCCTGGGCACACTCATTTTCTTGGTCTGGCCCAGGCCTCTTTTTTGGACTGGCCCAGGCCACAATTCTCTGGATAATTGTGCTCAGGCTTCTTTAGGGTCAGGGGTTAGCCCAGGCCCACATCTCTTCTTGCTTTGGGCCCGGGCTGTTTCAGGGTCAGGATTGGCCTGGGCACACTCATTTTCTTGGTCTGGCCCAGGCCAAATTCTCTGGATAATTTTGCTCAGGCTTCTTTAGGGTCAGGGTTTAGCCCAGGCCCACATCTCTTCTTGCTTTGGGCCCGGGCTTTTTCAGGGTCAGGATTGGCCTGAGCACACTCATTTTCTTGGTCTGGCCCAGGCCAATTCTCTGGATAATTTTGCTCAGGCTTCTTTAGGGTCAGGGTTTAGCCCAGGCCCACATCTCTTCTTGCTTTGGGCCTGGGCTGTTTCAGGGTCAGGATTGGCCTGGGCACACTCATTTTCTTGGTCTGGCCCAGGCCTCTTTTTTGGACTGGCCCAGGCCAAATTCTCTGGATTATTGGGCTCAGGCTTCTTTAGGGTCAGGGGTTAGCCCAGGCCCACATCTCTTCTTGCTTTGGGCCCGGGCTTTTTCAGGGTCAGGATTGGCCTGGGCACACTCATTTTCTTGGTCTGGCCCAGGCCTCTTTTTTGGACTGGCCCAGGCCAAATTCTCTGGATAATTATGCTCAGGCTTCTTTAGGGTCAGGGTTTAGCCCAGGCCCACATCTCTTCTTGCTTTGGGCCTGGGCTGTTTCAGGGTCAGGATTGGCCTGGGCACACTCATTTTCTTGGTCTGGCCCAGGCCTCTTTTTTGGACTGGCCCAGGCCAAATTCTCTGGATAATTGTGCTCAGGCTTCTTTAGGGTCAGGGGTTAGCCCAGGCCCACATCTCTTCTTGCTTTGGGCCTGGGCTGTTTCAGGGTCAGGATTGGCCTGGGCACACTCATTTTCTTGGTCTGGCCCAGGCCAAATTCTCTGGATTATTTTGCTCAGGCTTCTTTAGGGTCAGGGTTTAGCCCAGGCCCATATCTCTTCTTGCTTTGGGCCCGGGCTGTTTCAGGGTCAGGATTGGCCTGGGCACACTCATTTTCTTGGTCTGGCCCAGGCCTCTGTTTCTGTCTGGCCCAGGCTAAATTCTCTGGATAATTTGCTCAGGCTTCTTTAGGGTCAGGGTTTAGCCCAGGCCCACATCTCTTCTTGCTTTGGGCCCGGGCTTTTTCAGGGTCAGGATTGGCCTGGGCACACTCATTTTCTTGGTCTGGCCCAGGCCAAATTCTCTGGATAATTTTGCTCAGGCTTCTTTAGGGTCAGGGTTTAGCCCAGGCCCACATCTCTTCTTGCTTTGGGCCTGGGCTGTTTCAGGGTCAGGATTGGCCTGGGCACACTCATTTTCTTGGTCTGGCCCAGGCCTCTTTTTTGGACTGGCCCAGGCCAAATTCTCTGGATTATTGGGCTCAGGCTCCTTTAGGGTCAGGGGTTAGCCCAGGCCCACATCTCTTCTTGCTTTGTGCCGGGGCTTTTTCAGGGTCAGGATTGGCCTGGGCATTCTCATTTTCTTGGTCTGGCACAGGCCTCTCTTTTTCTTTGGCACAGAACCATTTCTCTTGATTATTGAGCTTAGGCTTCTTTAGGGTCAGGGTTAGCCCAGGTGCTCATCTCTTCTTCCTTTGGGCCTGTGGTTTTTCAGTGTTAATTGGTGAGGGCATACTCATTTTCTTGGTTTGGCCCTGGCATCCTTCATTTGATTGGCCCAGGCCCATGTTTCATTTCTAATGGGCCCGGGATTCTGTAGTGTAAGGGAATTCCTTGGGTCCCCATGTCTTCTGATTTGGGGTCCAGCCTTTTTAGGGTCAGGGTACCTGTTTATAATTTGGGTGGAGGTAGTCGATCCTTTCCAGCCGAAGCTTGCCCAAATCTTTGACTAAATCTTGGTCTATTTTCAGCATTTCTGAAAAAATAAAAGAAAAGTCAGGTGGACTTTGATAGTGGAAAATACTGGCATCTTAAATGTTCTCAGAACATCACTGACCTGTCCATGGGGAAACATGCACAGACACAGACACATATAGCCCACAGTTCACATGAAATAATTATACATTATACAAAGATGAAATATGTAGGAGAGAAAGCTGGTTGGGTTATTCCTTCCTGTTGCACAGCTGACTGTCTATGGTGGAGGGGTATCTGTGAGCTCATGTGGAAAGACTGTTGCTTCTAGTTAGTGAGATACAATTAGGAGAGTCCCACCAAGTCACCATGGTATATTTCCTTTCTGTCGTCTGAACCCTTGATGGAATAACTCAGTAACAAGAAACAGCAGAGGTTAGTCCTCCCTTCATCTTGAGGATGCCTTGCTAAGGCATAGAAGTCTCTACAGATCATCAAAAGATCTCTTTGCTGTGTGGGGATGGCATCCTCTCTCTGAATGTCCTACATGGCCATGTTCAGTGAGGGTATTTCTCTGATCCTTGTTTTTGTAACCCTTCTCATGGTCATATCTGCCGTGTCAATCAAAAACCCCTAAGACACCGAATCTGCCTTTGTCACCCCTTTCCAGAGAGCCCCCTGCCAAGTACACTGGTTTGAAATCACTTCTTCACCTACAGAATTTTCGGCAATCACTTACCTGAAGTAGATCTCTGCCTACCTTCTCCTGAGCTAAATCCTGGTCCACTATAGTGGACTCTGCTGCCCTCTGAACTGGGTCACACCCAGAACAATGACAGTGACCCTCATGTGAGGTCACAGAGGCCAGGCCTCACTCTGTCTGTGAAACTCAAAGGATGTCTTTTGGGCTAGTATTTAGGAGAAGTCCCTGAAGGCTTCTCTTAAGATCATTTCTTGGGAACAAGCTCACATCCAGTCCTTCTCCTACAGGGAACTTCAACCCTGGGACCAGCATATTCAGTAGGGAATGATCATACTCTGCCTTAATGTGCACAATTCACTTCTTGGTGTCTCATTTCTGCTGCTCAGTTTATTAATAAGTTTCTCTTGTCAAGAGATTTTAAGTGTGCCATCTGCAGTATTTTGGGTATCCAGCTGATGGAAAATGTTGGGGTACAACCTCTCCCATCACCACCATTAAACATAGCTTGCAGGAGGATTGCCCGAGAAATCAGGATGTCATGAAATTCCCTTACCTGGTCCTGCCATGAAACAGTCAATGACTTCTGAGAATGTCACTCTGGAGATGTGTATAACAGCAGAGATTCTTCCTGTTGTCATTTGGAAACTGGAGTTCCAAGGCATGGGCTGGCTCTGCCTCAGCAGCTGTCACCTTTTCTCACAAATACAGGTGGAGGTTAGTTGAAGAAATTTGACAAAATCCCCTCAGACATACACCCAGATTCAACCACAAATATATTAACTCAGGTCTCATAAGTAAAAGCTTAAGTTTGAAAATAAGATGGATCGAGTATGGCATCAGTGTCTGTGGCCATTCTGGGAAGGGCCTATGAGCCGACTTTAAAGATGATTTCCAGGAAGGTTCATGTCTAGAGAAGCCCATGAGAAGCCCTCCTACCTGTGAATCATATGCTCCCTGTGGGGATGTCACAAACAGGTGGGTGGTACATATAATTATCTTTAAGATTCTGTAGGCTCAATCCTGAAGTGATAGACTATGCACTGAGTTGACACTTTCTTCAGAGGCCTCTCTTCATTAAATTTTACATATAATTTAAATGTAAATATGGATAGGTTAGGGAGATGGCTGTAGTTGTGTTTCTTATTGTGTCCCTGACTTCAGCCATGCTGGGCCCAACGCATAGTTATAAAAGATAAGGATTGTGCTGTCTAGAAGCAAAGACCCTTCAGACCCCTGCAGTAATGACTTTGACACACTCCCTACCTGTCCTGACACTGTGGGCTGCTATAGCTGATGGTTGTCCCTGGCTTGGGCCCACTAGCAGAGTTTATTCTGCACCAGCCTGGAGACTGAAGTCTTCTCATGTGATACAGGCTGGGTGTGGACATCCCATGGCCTCTTTCTCCAGTGAGTTGTGGGTGTTGTCTTCCTGAGTCCTTGTTATAGTAGTTCTTTGTCACACGTCTTACAGATACTTACTGCAGCTTCTTCTAAAGCTATATCACAGGTCCTGTTAAATAACCACATTGTGCCTCATATCCTTTATCACTACTGCTCCCAGTATAGCACAGTTACGTTAAATTATGCCTTCATCCCAGAATTCCTGAGTATATTTCTCCCTCCACAGAGCCTAAAGCTTCCTCTAAACACATCCAAGTGAAAACATGTATTAGCACAGAATTAGAAGGGAGAGTATTGCCATGGTACTTCCTGTGACAGTGACATTGGATTCTGTTCCCAAATTATGGCAGCTGTCTATGTCTATCTTAGTATAAATGAAAACATTGTTACCACCAGGGACCAGAATTATCAGGGAAGAACAGATATCAGTGCCAGGGATGCTTTGCCCACACTCCCTGAACAACCTGCGTGTGATTGTCTAATGTGGGCACACAAACAGGAACCCTCTGTCCTTATCACCTAGGTCAGAGGCTGGAGTCCTGGTGCAGATCCACCTGTGTGGCTTCATCCCAAGGCCTCTCTCTCTGTGAGTCTAGGGGTTTCTCTCCATGTGGTCTTGAGGTTCCTGTCCCACTGCTATGAGACTTCTGACTCCTACTGTTTCTAGTTCTTCTTAGGATGAGCTCTCCTCAGGCTGGAACATTTCAAATACCTAGCTATGTTTTAGTGTCCCCATTTAAGATCTCAATAAAGAAGTGCCTCAAACCGAGTGAGTCACTCACATGATTAAATTCAGGTAGTGTGCATCCCAGAAAACAGCCCAAACTTACCCAGTCACATGCACTTGCTGTGATTCAAGCCCTCCTTCTGGACTCTGGCTTGTCCTCAGGTAAGACCCTGGCATTACTAGGGCAGGGTTCAATTGTGAGGTCACAGAGGCCTCACCTACCTCATTCTTGGAATCCCAGGTCATCCAGACCCCAGTTCTCTCCCTATCTGACCCATCCTTGTTGTTTGCCAACCTATGTGCAAACATCCCTGGAAGCACTTAGCTTTGGGAAAGCAGCTAGAAGTGTCTCAGGGATATTTCCGGGAGCATACATTACATTTCTCTCCTGTCATTCCTCCATCTTCCCACAGGTACCATCACCCTTGAGAAGAGGAATGCAGTTGACAATGCTGCTTCCTCATCTCAATTGTCTGAACTCACACTCTGCCTCATCATCTCAGATTCTTCATAGTCACCATGGTTTACTGCTGGCACTCAGCCTGTGGGGTACCATCTTCTGCCCCTTCTACTTGGTTCCAAAAGTAACCTCATCGTATTTTCTACCTGTCTGCATCATTAATCTTTTAGCTTGAGTTTGGTTGTGGATTAGTATTAGCTAGTGCTTGCCTGGCCCTTGGTTTCAGAATGAACAGCACAAAAATACATGGATGACTAATCAATAAATACATACAGCATGGATGCTTCACAATAGAGTCGCAGGTAGAGCCTAGCTTGTGAGGTACAGAGACTCCTGGAAGCACCTGCTTTTCCTTGTCCCAAATCAGGTGACCTGTCACTGAAAAAGCTGTGTGTAGGAATGATCAAGCTGTTCAGAAATGTGCCAAGCCCTTTGTCCCCACCTGTGTGCAGGTCTTGCAGTGGTAGTCAGGCTCTGTTAGCTCTGACTGACATGAGACTCTTTGTCAACCCTGTGCTTCCCTTGTGCTAGAACTTCAGTCTCTCAACTACCAGGTTTCCAGTGTTTCTCATGATGAGATACTGTACATAAATCATGACTGACACCAAATTAGTGGACTTCTGGCTAACCTGGTCATGGGGCTACAGTGCATTCTGTGTTGTGAGGCTCAGACATTAATTTGAAAATCTTGAAGGAAAGTCCATGGGTTCTTTTCTTTTTTAAGAAAGAGGACATAAAGCAAGGGTTAGGGAGCTAAGGTTAGTTCTGGAAGGAGTTAGGGAGAGGAGTGTGTGGTAAATAAGATCAGAATTTAATGTGTGATATTGTCAAAGAAGTAATAAAAATATTTATTTATTCATTTAATTATTCAACTTCATGCATTGGCCTCTTTGAACGTCCTCAAACAAACACTCCTACTAGTTGCCTGGCCTCATCATGTTTCTTTAGTTGTGGAGGGAGATTCTATAACCCTTTTCTGGTATCATTGGCTCTTAAGCTGTATTTCTTTACCTGTGGGTCATGAACCCTTTGGGGGTGGAATTGAAAACTCCATTCACAAGGGGTATCCTAAGACCATAGGATATTTACATTACAAACCATAACAGTAGCCAAATTACAACTATGAAGCAGCAATGAATATAATGTGGTTGTAGGTCATCACATCATAAGGAACTCTATTAAATGGTTGCATTATTAGGAAGGTTTAGAACTACCTCTCTAAAGCCAGAACCATGTGTGATAAGCTAAAAGTTCTACTGCTTCCTGAATATGGAACATTGCCCCTCCTTCACATACATTTTCAACAGAATTCTGGTTTTTATCCTTGCCTTCACTGTCTAAGCTTACCAGTCCTGGAATTCAGTCTGTAGACCATGTTGCATGAACTCAGAGATCCACCTGCCTGTGCTTCCAGAGTGTAAAATATCACAAGAACAGTCTCTAGTCCACATACTAAAATTCTTCTCCTCTGAAACCTCCTGAGGCAGTCCCTTACAGTTCAAAGCACTCTAAACACCACTATCTTCCATACTCCAACTGGCTAGGCCCATTAAGCCCCACTTAAAGTGTTCAACTGCTTTTTTGAGTTCAAAGTCCACAATCCTCCAAACAAAAGTGTTGCCATCCCAACACAGCAATACACCACTTCTGACAGCAAGTACTGTCTGAGCTAGGGTTTTATTTCTTTGAAGAGATACCATGACCATGTATAACAATTTGAAAGTAATTTGCCCCTATAATCTCATAAGGAGTGGCACTATTAGTAGGTGTGACTTTGTTGGAGTGAATATGGGTTTGTTATAATTTTGTCTCTATGGAGGCAGGGTTTGAGATTTCCTGTGTTGAAGATCCCACACAGTGTCTCAGTTCACTTCCTGTTGCCTTCTGATCAAAATGCAGCCACCAATATGTCTGGCAGCATGTCACCCTTCTCACTACCACGATGATAATGAGCTGAACCCCAGAACTGTAAATGAGCCACACCAAATAAAATTTTCATATATGAGATTTTTTTCATGGTCATCTTATCTCTTCCCAGCAATAGAAACCCTAAATAAGACACCAGGGCAGCTCTTATAAAGAAAAGCATTCAACTGGTCTGGCTTATAGTTCAGAGGTTTAGTCCATTATCATCACGGAGTGAAGCATGGTGGCAAACAGGTAGACATGATGAGGAGAGGTAACTGAAAGTTCTACATCTGGATTCACAGGTAGCAGGAATAGGGAGGACAACTGAGTCTACCTTGGGCTTCTGATACCCCAGATCCCACTCCCAGTGACACACTTCAACGATGGCCATACCTACTCCAACAAAACCTCATCATCTCCCAAAGTCCCACTCTGTATGGAGCTAAGGGGATAATTTCATTCAAACCACCACGTAGACTATTGCCATTGATCTTGATAGTGCACTACAACTTGATGGCAAGACCCTATTGCTGGAAACACTACAGGCTTCAGTCATAGAATATGCAGAAAACAAATGTTTTCTGCTTATGAACACAGTTCAAGAATGGAGTCCTGTGAGGAGATTTCTGAGTGCTTGGGAGAATACTCCAGGTAACCAAGACAATTGTCTTGTGACCCCAGTTTCTTCAAAAAACACAGAATTGTCCTCAGATCATGCTTTCATACTCCTCCCATGTGTAGTGCATAGGAGTTTATTTCAGATTATTTATTACAACTGGCTATAGTTATTTGGTTACATGCTTCTATAGAAAAACATATTTTTGCCACATGAGGCTTGAGCACCATGCACAGCTTATTAGCCACATGTTGCTTCCTTTGTAACTGGATATTTTATGTGTGATTCAAAATGCAAAGAATGTTTTTTTGAAGTTGTTTAACGAGCTAAACCCATTAGGTCGGGCCCTACATCCATCCACCTTGCCGGATGGCTAGAGAAGGACTCATGTGACTATTCTTAACTCTCAGAGTGTACATTGTCTGATGCTCTGAATGAAGTTGGCTATTGCATCAGACTTTAGTCCACCTAATTTATTGGCTCCTGTCTCCTAGGTCTAGATATATGATAAATGGTGCCTGAAACTTGGACCTGAAGTTGTCTATGAGATAAGTGGTGATGAACCTCTCAGAAGGAGGTCAGTGAGAATACAGCGGCAGAAACCATGGATGGCTTTGCTTTTTGTTTAACTTGTGCATCTTTTTTTAATGAAAGAAGGATACCACATACTAACATCACAACTATTAAATTTCTTGTCATTTGTTTGTGATTATAACATTTTGCTTCCAGAAGAAGGGACTTTACATGAAAAAGAATGGGACAGAATCTGAAAGAATATTGAAAAGGCACACAGACATGGAGGAAAGATCTTATTCAATTTTGGGTCTCTGAATTTTAATTTGGACTCTTATCCAAGTGCTTAAGGATGACACAGAGGATATCAATCATGAGGAAGAGATAGATAATTCCTTAAATGAATATCAACTAGATGATCAAACTTTAAAATCTTCCTGTGTTTGTGTTTTTTGTAAAGGGAGATTTTTCCCCATCAAGGTAAAATCAAAAGTAAAAACATGGCCACCAATGACTATGCTGCTGGCAACTGCCTCATCTCCTTTACTGGAGCCTCCTTTAAACACACTCCACTAGTGAGTAAAACTGACGCTGAAGCATGGGGTGAGGAATTTGATAATCAACCTGATCTTGAATTCTCTCCACTTCCTGAAGAGAACCCATGAACAAACTCAATTTCTAACCTAGGCAAGCTTGGGCCTAGCAGGGAAAGGAAATTTGGCTCCCAAATCCACCTTGGGCTCATGAACTGGGCTTGCTATTTTCAATATAAGCAATCTATTTAAACTCTAGAAAGAGGGATGGCTTTGGATAATCCTCTCAGATTACCTTGTGAAGCAAGAAAAGAATCTAGACTAAAAGAGGCATCTGTG